CCGCTCGTTTCTGTCTCATTTAAAAGGACAACATCGAGTCAAGATTTGTCGTAGAAAAGCCCTCTAGGAAACGTAGTGGTTGGAGGTGCTTTTGGCAGTCTTAAATCCCCTCCCAGCCTCTGATTTTTGTGTATGCGCTGTCTCATGGCACAAACAAGGGAAACAGTTTTCCTATAAAGGTGAACCCACGAGGAGAAATGTTGAGGGTGAATGAGAAATAAATTATACATAGAGGGAAATGGTTGCCAGGTCAGCCTCAGTTACGGCATGTTCTGTGTCAGGGGGAGCAGGGAGGAGCGGAGGGAGGTTTTCGTCTGAGGTTTTTGTCACTTGTCGCCTCAGGGGAAGGTCTTTAAACGTGGGTGGCCAACAGCATCGGTGTCCTTAGGGGAGCGGAGGACGTAGTCCCAAAGTGGCTCCAGGTCAGGGCTTCCTCCCCCCGAATCGGCGGTTTGGGCTTTTGAGCCGTTCCTGGATGGAGCCCCTGCGCTGGGTTTGGGGGTGACGTCCAGGTTTGCTCCTGGCAGCTGGGGTGGGACGGGGGGGTCTGGGCTCCCCGCGGGTGTTTGGCTTCGGCAGGCTTGGCCGATGGGGGCAGCTGGCGAGGAAACTGGGCTCCCCCTCCCCTGCACCCCCCGCTGCTTCCTCCCCAGAGCAGGGGTCTTCTGCTCATCTCCAGCCGTCCGTGCTCTCAGATTAACCGAATTAAAACCAAACAAAAAAAGAAACCATTCCAATAAATTCACCGCATCCCTGCGGGAGCCGCTGCGGTGCAGCCTCTTACTTGCTTTTACATTCAGGGAAAGCCCCGTCGGGTCTGAGCGCTGCGGTTTTGGATGGATGCTGAGGGGAGGATCTGGCCCCAAACTTGCGGGGTGGAGGAGCTGGGTTAACCGGGGAAGGGGCAACTCTCACTTCCAGGTCCATCAGAGAGCGGAGGAATGTGTGAGAGCGCTCCGGCTCTTCGAGGACATCAGCAGCGGTAAACCTGTCCCGAACGTCCTTCACTTCGACTTCGACCTCTCCGTGCTGAAGGTACCTGGGTCTGCCTGCGCTGAGGGACCAGCCGGGGGGATCGTTTGGCTGATGGGGGGGTCCGGGTGCCCTTTGCTGGCAGGATCAGTCCTTGTGGTGTGAGACTTTTCCTCCTGGGACAAGCAGGGTCTGTGCAGAGCCACAGCCTTCCACGGCTTGGCGTCTTGGTCCCTTTCTTCTCTTTTTTTCTCCCCGGGGAGCCGGGTCCCATGGCATCGGCAGTGAAAACAGGCCATGGCATCCCTTGCAAAGTGCAGAGCAACGAGGCTTTGCTGATCTTCCTTTGGCCTTTTCTCCCCTAATTAGGGACCTTCTGCAGTGAGGTTTGGGCACAGGCTCCTCAGCCTTCTCCTTTTTGCAGGACAGCGTTGATCTGACCAAAGTCGCTGTCATGGGCCATTCCTTCGGTGGGGTGACAGCAGTGCTGGCCTTGGTGAAAGAGCCCAGCTTCAGGTAAGCCTGGCTTCAGGTAAGCCCGGCTTCAGGTAAGCCGCAGCAGGGCCGAGGAGCCACGGGCAGCTCTGGGAACACGCGGCTCATCCCGGTGGGAAGGGAAGCCATGGTATGGGCGGCAGCGCGGGGTGCCCGTCCTGCTGCAGGTGCGCGGTGGCTCTCGACGCCTGGATGTTCCCTCTGGAGAACGCGCTGTACCCGGAGGTGCCCAAGCCTGTGCTCTTTATCAACACCGAGAAGTTCCAGACACCAGAAAACATTGCCAAAATGAAGAGGCTGAGCTCTAGAAACAGCCAGACAAAGATTATAACCATCCTGTGAGTAAGGAGCCGGGGGTACCCGCCTGGCAGTACCCTTCAGGGAGCACCTACGAGCTGGGTCCCAGCAGGAAGACCTCTCCCCAGCTCCCACCCAAGCAGATCCCTTCCCTGTCCCAGGGGATCCGTGCACCAGAGCCAGACCGACTTCACCTTTCTCACTGGGAAGCTCATCAACCGCATCTTCAGCACGAGGGGGACCCTCGACCCCTACAAGGGTCTGGACATCACCAGCCGGGCAGCTCTGGCCTTCCTGCAGAGGCATCTCAGTACGGCGCAGGGTGGAGGGCACGTTGGCCGGGGGCTCGGGAGGGCACGAGAGCTCCCTCGCTTGCGGGGGGCTGCAGGGCGGCCGCTGCCTCCCTGGGCTTGGGTTTGGTGCTTCCCATGCCATTGCACAAGGCAAAGCGGTCCGGTGGCTACTCCTCCTTTACGCCTGGAGCCGGGCTGATAATCGCTGTAGTAACCCATCACCATCTCTGCCCCGTGCAGACCTGGAAGGGGAGTTCGATCGATGGGACAACCTCCTCGAAGGCATCGGAGACTCGGTTGTTCCAGAAGCACCGTTTTTCCGCTCCAACCTGTAGCCTGCTCCAAGGTCGCTGGCAGGAGCCAAGTACCGGGAAAGCGGCAGGAGCCAACAAAGGCAGGAGGACCCACGGGGAGAGCAGGACCCGGGGACCACGCTCGTAGGACGTCTGATGGCCGAGGTGCTCAGCCAGCGTGCCAGGAGAGCCCTCCCTGCTCCAGCGCTGCCGGCAGTGGCTGCTGCCTGCGGTGAGGGCTGTGGAGCTGAGGGAATAAAATCCCTGGGGACAAAGACCGAGTTGGCTGTCACTTGAGCCCGAGGTGACACCCGTCTTGCACGCAGGGGGTAGGTGGGCATCGATCTCTCGCTGGGCCTGGCTGGATCTGCTGCAGCTGTGGCACATCTGGCAGGAGCGGGCAGGGGGGATGTTTGCCGTGGGTTGGGGGTAGTTCAACCGCCGCCAAAAGAACCAGGGCAAAGAGATGCAGCGTCAGGGCTCTAAGCACAAAGGTGATGGAAATCTTATCGTTGTCCTGGAAAGATGGGCAGATCGCTGACTTCACGCCTAAAATTTGGGGGGAAAAAAGAAAGAGGACAGTTTTGAACAAGGGGCGGGCTGGAAGTATCTCTGAGCACCCCAGCAGCACAGGGATGTGAAACGGGGACTGAGATCAGCCCCGGGGACGGAAAGAAAACAGCCCAGCCTGGTTTTGCAGCACGAAGAGCAACACTGCTGCGAACGGGCACGGCTGGTGGTGGGAACAAGGCACTTTGGAAGTACCTACAGCACTTTTCTGGGGAACACCAGAGCAAGGGGAGGTTTTTAAGGGGGGGTCCGATCCACAGCCATCCCGAGGAAGGGCTGAAGCCGGTGGAGCTGCATGGATTTACCCCACCGGAGACCCTCCCAGGGTCC